TATGAAGCAGGTTTCTCTCTCTCTCTCTTTAATTATTGCCAGAGCGCATGAGCACTCACCAGAGAGGCCGGTGTGATTTCTTTCTTTCTTTCTTCCTTTCTTTCTTTTGGAGAGGTTTTTGCTATAGGGTGCGTGCGCTCACCAGACAGAGACAGAGAGACAGAGAGACAGAAAGCAAGAAATCACCCTCCAGGGGGGATGGCCACGCTGCAATCCCTTCTCCTCTATTCTCCTCTCAGGATCTTGGGCACGCACGCACAAGCGCCCGGTGTGAGTTTAAGCCACCGGGTCCGGGACTCGAACCATGGCAGACTACATGGGAGTCCAGGAACATAGCCATTACACTAACTGCTGGTCCCTGATTTTTTTCTTGAGAGATATTTCTGCTATAGGGCACATGTGCTCACCAGAGAGACAGAGACAGAGAGAGAGAGAAAGTGAAAAATCACCCCCCGGGGAGATGGCCACACTGCAATCCCTTCTGCTCCATTCTCCTCTTGGGATTTTGAGCATGCACGCACAACACGCGCCCGACATGAGTTTTAAGTCGCCGGGTCCGGGACTTGAACTGCAGTTGACTACGTGGGAGTCCAGCAACATAACCATTATGGCATCTGCTGGTCCCACCCACTGTGACGTTTAAGCCGCTGAGTCAGGGACTTGAACCGCTACCGCTCGGTTGGATGTATGGGTCCGGCACCTTAACCACCACACCACCTGCTGGCCCTGTTCACCCGTTTTTGTTTTGAGGCTGGTGGCGGCGGTAGCTTTGTTGATCGTCCTTTTTTTCTATAAAATGGGTTTCGGGGAACCTCACAGGCCAGCCTGCAGGGACCAAGACAAACCTGTTAGACCTTTCTGACCAAACGCACCCAGAGCCCGAGGAGGGGCCGGCCAGCACCCAAAACTCTCATGCTGACAACTGCCCTCACCAGGGCACCCTTCTCCTCCGTTCTCCTCTTGGGATCTTGGGCACACATGCCCGGCGTGAGTTTAAGCCATTGGGCCTGGGACTCGAACCGTGGTCGACTACATGGTTGTCCAGCAACATAGCCATGATGCCAAATGCTGGTCCCAAATTCTACCCATTTTTAAAGACCTGTTCAAACCCCACCTCTTCCAGGAAGTCAGTTCTGACTGCCTTACCCAGAAACGTCTCTCCTCTCTCCTCTGCCTTCGAACAACACTTACACAGGAACCCTTTGTTACCGAGGACGTGTCTCCTCTCCATAGGGCGGGTTGGCCTCCGCGTTAGTGCAACGCTACTCACTGCATGCAAGTCCCTCGTCTGTCCCATCTCCCAGAGACCCTTTCGTGTGCTCACTGACAATACAGATAGTGCTGACACAGCTGCACCCACGTGGGGAAGGTGCTGGGTTTGCGTCCTGGGCCCTCCCTGTACTGTGCATGCATGCCCATGTCCGGGCTGGCTGAGACTGGGTTGTGGCAGGAAGACCCTGTCGGGAACGACCGTCTCTCTGTCTTTCTCTTTCTTTGTATCTCTGTCATATGAGAAGTGAATAAATAAACTTTTAAAAAAAGAACATAGGTAGATTTACAGGTGAACATAATTCAGAGGGAGGTAGTGAAGGCAAACAGAAATAAATAGGTCGACCACGAGAGAGAGTGAACCCAGTTGCTAGGTGGGCATCAGTGTGTGCCGAGCATCCTGGAAGCCAAGGAGAAAGGGGACTCGGAATCAGTCGGAAAGACAGTGGGTCTAGAAGGAGCCAGGGAGAACTGGGTACGCGTCCAGAGAGACTGGATAAATGGGCTGCCCTGTGTCTCAACCTCCTTCTCTGGGAAAGTGGAGGAAGGGCATGGGGCACCCAAGCACACACCGTGAGCTGCAGAGTACATAGACATGCAGGTTCTCCTCCTCGTTTTCCTCCTCACAGTCAAAGGAGAAAGCCCCCCGGTTTGCGGAAAAGCATAAGGAACAGCAATCAAATGGCCCGCAGAGAAGCTGCAGGAGAGGCAGGATGCCCCACTGAGCAGGCTTGGGGTGGCTGCGGAGCCGGCTACACGAGGCTGAGCCCTGTGGGCAAGCTTCCAGCCGCCCACTTCAGACCAGCGGCCTCGGCTATGGCTGGGACACCGCTGTCCTCCCACTGACGCGCCGCCGCCCAGCACCCTTCCAGACAGCAATCCTGATCTTGGAGCACCAGGCGCTTCCTCTTCCGGTCCCCACAAATAACCATGTCCACCGTGACTGGCGCTTCCGAAGGCCAAGTTGGAAACTCGAGGGATGGCACGGAGGCCTCCGGGCTGGGAGGAGGGCAAGGCCTGACCAGTCAGCAGGTCCGAGCCCCGACTCTGACTGGGCCGGCCTCAGAGATCCTCGAGGCTGAGCCTCTCTAGCCTCGCCCAGTGGAGGCGTTCCTGAGTGGCTACCGCACACGGCACCCAGGGCACCCACAGCCCCAGCCCGCGGTCCAGAGGGAGACCCCGCGAGCGAACAGAGCTGCCATTGCACGTGGCCACGGGGATCCGCGCAGGTGGAGGGCGTTGGCTCCGCCAGGCAAGGCTCACCTAGGTGGGACCGGCCAACAGCCTAGCAGGCGCACGGGTCGGGGAGCCCTGGCCTGCGAAAACCTCCAGGAGCCTGGAGAGCTGGGGCTCAGAGGGTGGATGCAGGCAGGAAAGGCAGCCAGAGCCCAGGCCCCATGGCCTTGTAAGGAGGACCACCTGCCTCCAGAGCTCCCAGGGAGCTCAAACAGCCCCTTACAGGGAACCAGGAGCCTCGCTTGGATTCTCTCCGGACAACCTCCAGGCAGTTGCAGCTGGGAGGGCAGAAGGGCTGAACCAACACTCACCACCAGGGAAGCAGCCCGGCCACCGGCCACCAGCAGGGTGGAGGATGCACTGCCCACGCCTCCCCTCCGCAGGTCCCTGCCTAGAGCAGCTCCGGGCTCCGCAGTGGGAGGCGGCAGGGATTCAGCCCCACCACACCAGCCTCACCGGAAGAGAAATCGCTGACCAGCGACAGCCAGGAGCCACATAGGCCACGGTCCCCAGGAGAGTCTCAGAGGGGCTCATGCTCCTGGCACTCGGCGGGACGCTGAGTCAGACTCCACCCGGAGCTCACAGGCCCCGGGAAGATAAGCCAGCACACAGTGACTACAGAGTAAGGCAGAGGGCGATAAGAGACACCAGAGCCAGATAACGCAGCAGGGAGGACTCGGGCCTGGCAGTAACCCGGGCTGTGCACCCCCAGGAAGTGGGGAGTCCCTGCTGTCAGCTCCCAGAGCCTGCCAGTGCAGACTGGAGGGGGTCTGCGCGGTGGGGAGCTGCCCAGAGCACTACAGGGATGAGAAGGGGCCAGGCCAAGGAAGCCAGGCTGCCTCCTGGGCCAGAAAGGGGACGAGGCCGGCGACCTGCCTGGGGCTGGCACCTGCCTGTGCCCACTGTGGGAGTCAGCGTCCCTGGGGACTGCGCCTGGGGGAGGGGCACACTGAGCCTCCCTCTCCCCAAGCCACCCCCACCTGCCCCGCCACTGACAACTTGATGCTGGGGGGTGGCAGGGAGCTGGACCCCGGCGCAAGAGGGGCCAGGGGATGGAGCCGGCCACACCCCATGCTGGCCCGACGCCCACGCGGGGGCAGCCAGGCTGGAGCTGGACGAGCCTGGGGGGGGGGAGCTGCACGAGCCTGGGCGGGGGACTCTGGCCGCCACTTCCTACCCGCTCGGTCCTCGCCCTTGCACTGGGGGCGGGGGGCGCAGGCCGGCACCGCACGCACTGCCCCTTGCCCGCGGTGACACTTGTCACAGGAGGCGGAGGGGGAAGTCGTCCTCACTCGGAAATCAGCATTTGGGGCACGAACGGGGGCGCAGCGACTCTCGGCGGGCTCGGGCCGCCTCCGGGCTGGGGTCCCCGCGCGCCGTCCCCTCGCGCCCCCCTCCCAGGCGCCGGCCCGGGCCCCGGCTTTCCCCCCAGGCCCGAGCG